CAAAGCTGGTTAACAGGTAGTTAGGCCATGGAAGGACACCAAGTCAGGAACACCTCCGTTTTGTGAGGGAAGGGCACCTTGCCAGGGCCACAATCACTGTTGTCCCTGCAGGTGGGAAATCTCTAATCTACAGCCCACTGAGACTCAATTTCTTCTTGCATCCATGCTGCGGGGATAAACTACTTGCACGCAGGCAGTGGTAGTACAGCAGCAGAACGCACCTGGAGGAAACAAACTACATCTGAGTTGTTTCAGGTTACTTGAAACAGGTCAAGTAGGGAAGCAATTCTTGCGCCCCAAGTTTTGACTGGGTACCACGTTCTGTGCAGCTCCTGCGGCATCCAGGCTGCAGGTTCAGCACAGGCTGGTGAGCAGAAAGGCTGGCACAGGGCTTTGGGCGATGTGATGGACAATGTTGTCCATTTAAAGGACAGGTTTCACCCGTAACAAGTGAAGGGAACACCTCTGTGCTCAGCAATATCCTGTTTACAGAATGGACACTGCTAGGTGCTGGAGCTGCACATCTAGCAGGCTAAATCACGGGGCAGAACAACCTGGATCGTTGCAGGCTACCCTGTGACCTGGGAATGTTTCTGGCATCATGTTTGCTTGTCTCTGTGCTGAAGGCTCACAGAACTAACAGTGCTTTGCTGTTGTGATATACTGGAGCTGAAAAGACCAGGATAACTCTCTAAGTTGGTGGAGTTCTTAATGGCTTTTAATAGCTCTCAGCAGGTTCAGCTGTTCAGTACCTCCCAGGGATTATACGGAGTGCCAAGATAGCTTGTCTGCCAGGAGCACTTCCAATACATTATCCACACAAAATTCCCAGGCAGGCAGGGTCCAACAACACAGCGGCTGCTCCTGGATGTGCACAACCATGCAAGTCTCCTGCGTTGCCTGGTGAGGTGGTTGGGCTCAGAGTCCATAGAGCAAATGAGGCAGCAATAAGGAATGAAGAAATAGGTATGGCATTGGGGTGGCAAAGGGGTACCTGAAAGCCCATGTTACAGGATGGAGGGGTAAGGAGTGAGGAGAAGGAAGATGCAGAGGAGGGACTTCTCCCCACATGCTGCTGGAGGAAGAGCAAACACTGACTGCTTCCCAGGGCAGGCAGCAGCAGGCTGCTTCCCCTCGCCTCCTCCTGCTGCGGGACAGGGCGGCGCCAGAGCCGCCTGCCTTGGCAAATGGGGACTCCCACATCAGGTTGGGCAAGTATTGGGCAGGTTACTGGGATCGTGATCCTCTCTTGGCTCTGGAGGCACTTTCCCATGCATGAAAACCTCCTCTGTCCTGCCAGTCCCAACACCTTCCAGATCCTCCCAGTTCTCTTACCATGTCATGTGGCTGAGCACTAGCAGCTTCCCAGCCAGGATGATCATTAGTTCCTCATATTAGAGGTATCTACTCACTGATTAATATCTTTGTGCCCATTTGTTGTTTTCCTGAAGTGTTAGTTGCTTGATCAGCCTGATAAACTATGACGAAATGTCTGGCTTGGTAGGTGAGCGAAGAGCAGCAGAAAATTGCTACCCTGATTTCAAGTAAGGTCTTTGACACTGCCCCCTGTAATATCCTCATAGAAAAGCAAATGGAAGTATGGGCTGGGGAAGGAAACAGTGGGGTGGACTGAAAAGTGGCTGAAGAGCTGAGCCCACATGATGGTGATCAGTAGCACAAAGTCTAGATGGAGGCCAGTAACTAGTGGTGTCCTTAGGGGTCAATACTGGGTCCGATCCTCTTTAGCATCTTCACTGATGATCTAGATGGTGAGGCGGAGTGTATCCTCAGCAAGTGTGCTGATGACACAAAACTGGGACGACTGGCTGATACACCAGAGGGTCGTGCTGCCGTCCAGAGGGACTATAACAGGCTGGAGAAATGGCCTGGCAGGAACCTCATGGTGTTCGTAGGGAGAACTGTAAGCTCCTGCCCCTGGAAAGGAATAATCTAGGGATAAGTCTATGGAGCGGTCACGAAGTTGACTAAGGAACTGAAGCACCTCTTCTATGAGGAAACGCTGAGAGCTGGGACTGTTCAGCCTGGATAAGAGAAGGCTCTGGGGGAACCTTGTCAATGTATATAAACAGCTAAGGGGAAGGTGCAAAGAAGATGGAGCCAGATTCTTCCCAGTGGAGCCCAGCAACAGGATCATAGGCAATGAACACAAACTGAAATAGAGGAGGCTCCTGCTGAACATCAAGGAATACTTTATTACTGTGAGGGTGACTGAGCGCTGACCTAGCTACTCAGGGAGTTTGTGTTGCTGAGTATCTTCAGTCTTGGAGATAGCCAAACGCTATCTGGACATGGACCTGGGCTGCTGGTGCAGGGAGCACTGCTTGAGCATGGGGGCTGGAGCAGATGACCTCCAGAGGTCCCTTCCAACCTCAACCATTCTGTGATTCTGTGGGAGGGAAGAAAGTGGAATGCTTGAGAAAGAACACAGGAAGCACCTGTTAATATGCTGACCCAGGAAAACAGCAGCATGATGAACATTTCAACCTAAGGATGGCTGGAATCTGGGAGACAAGATGTACTTGCCTGTCCGCCAACCAGGGGAGCACAGGCATGCCTAGCCTCTCCCAGGCCTTGCCCATAGCCAGCAATGCTCAGCAGGTTGCTGCTTTACATCATTCAGCCAGCGGTTGCCACAGTAACTGCACTTACAGATGAAGGATGCGAGGCTCCTGGGGTAGTGGAATGACTGGCACCCGCTGGGTGTTGTCTCTATTGCACTGCAGGAAAGGAAGATGTGGTTTTCTGAACGTGAGAAAATAAACAGCCTTCCTTATGCTACACCGAGCTGGGCTTCCCACCCGCTTCCTGCTGCAGGTCCCTTCTCCCCAGCCCTGTGCTCCCTGGCAACTGCCCTGCTTCCTTGAAGCACTCAACCCAAGAAGAAAAACTGCTTTAGACAACAAGAAATCAGCCTACCCAGGCAAGAGGCATCACTTCAGTTTCAACAGCCCCATCAGACCCAACCCAGAGGAAACCAAGGCCTGACCTCCACGAGGATCACAGATCCTTAGTGTCAGTGGTTGAAGGGCTTGCATGGAAACTCACTGTCCCTCAGGCACCATTCTCGTCTAGTTTTCTAATCAGACCTGCTCACACTCACCTTCATTGCATGCAGGATCAACAATAGCAGAGGGAAGCCACACAAAACCAAACCGTGGCAGACATGATGGATCCCTACAGTGCTGCTCTCATCCCTATTCAAAGCAAGAACAGCCCCATGGCTAGAGACAACACTTCTCCCACTGCTGGGGAGTGGAAGCATTTATAGGACACAGGTGCCTGGTGCTGTCAGCTACATGAAGAACCAAGGGAGGGCCAGGTGAAGCCTATTGCCCTTCTTCTCCAAGTACACCTTTGCTCCATAGCAAAACCCTCAGGAAGAGGTGCACTGGATGAGAAGTCTCATGCTAACAAGACGGATCAACATTGCATCTGCTGAGTTCTGTTTTCAGCAGCAGCCACGTGAGAAAGAAAACCTCCTTTCCTGGCTCACCATTTGGGATCCAAAGGATGAGCTCTAGAATCTCAGAGCCTGAACATGGGCTGTAACGCTCAGATTCTGAGTTCCTTTCTGTTTCTGGTGTGCCAGCCTGGGAGACCACAGCCTCCAATCTCCTGTCTGCTGGCTGGGAGAGTTGGAAACAATGGAGCATTCATCCTCAAGCACCTTAGGAAAAAGAGGGAATCTCCTGGGGATGCTTTTGTTGCGCACTGTCTCCTCTGTACGCACTCATTTAACCAGCTCAGTCTGTCCTGAGCTGTACTGAGCATTCCCATCTGTGGCCACAAGTCACAATAACAGTGCTCTGAGTTTCAGCCTGATACAAGATATGAGAGCTCTGAAAAACAAATCAGGGTCTGGGTTTCTCTAGTTCAGCAGCCAGAGTTAGCAGACACATTAGGTCTCAGTCTTGCTCTGGCTGATGATGCAAGTGTTGGTCAGACACTCATTAAGAGAGCACCAGTCCTCTGGTTGTCTAATTGAAGATGGGACAGACAAAAAGGAGAGAAAGCTGCACATGAAGGGACTGATTAAGATAAAGGGCAGTCTTCCAAGAGCTTTTTGGGTCACCTTCTGTTTTAGAGGGCTGTTTCCTAAGTTACTGGGGAGGTGGGGGGGAAGGCTCTCAGTAGCTGGAATTGTCTTAGGGCCAGTAAGTTGCCTCTAATTCTGCCATGAGCTGACACAGCACTAATGTACACAGAGACTGGTTCTTGAGCTGGAGAACTGATCTCTCAAGGAGATGTGATGCTTGCTCACCATCAACAGCTGTTAAAGGAGTCTGACAGACAAAGGGGAGGATTTGGCTCCCATATGAGGAAGGCAGGCAAAATACATCCCCAAGCTGTTTTCTCCTTCCTGTCTGGGGTCACAGCCAAACCCAGGGAGAGGACATAAAGGATGATAAGCTACAGCCCAGTAAGGGTCACCAGCAGGGGTACAGCAACACCCACATCTCCTTCTCTCAAAGCTTAGTGTACTTGAGAAGGGCCACAACAAAACCTGATTTTGACAGTTCTCAGCCTTCTGCAAGCTACATGACAGAGGTGGCATGTCACCCCTGCTCTAGCAGAGCCGAACACCACTGTGCAGGGCCACATGGGGTCCTCCTGGATAGCAATGGGCAGACTTGAGGCACAGCACAAGAACTCACCATTCCCCAGCAAGCAATCACCCATGCTGTGAATTGGGTGGCAAAGATAGCCTCACTCACTGCTTCAATTCGCCTGACCAGACCCCATGCCCTACCCCATAGCCCCACCAGCCACCTCCACCCTCCACTCCAGTTCCAGACCCCAGTAAGAGACAGCAGCCAACAGCAGCTTGAAGATGCTGTCCACAAGCCGTGGTCCACCTCTCTCTTGGCTACTCAGCAGCACCCCCTTGAGTGAGTCTTGCCACATCCTCATTTTCGAGGGCCCAAAGATAACCTAAAGCTATTAATCACCTTGAAGAGACCACAAGGGAATACAGGAGATTATTTCCAGCCCACGCTCACACTTTATTATATACAGAGACACGGTGAGTGTAAGAACATCAACATGGGACGTGGACAGTAAGGGAGGCCCAAAGGCACTGCCTCCTGTCTCCTTGGTGCAACCAGTCAGCATACTTTATACAAATAATACAATATTCAAACAATAAATAAGCTTAATAAATAAGATCAAGAAATAAATTAAAAAAAAAAAAGGACAAAGCAGCAAGGAATGGATTTGAGGGCTGTGACACATCCACAGCAGTGACAATACCACCACCATCTCACCTGCACACCAGCAGCTGCAGCACAGACCCACAGCAGCCCTTTTCTCTCATTGTACTACAGCAAAATCCGACTGAGGAGAGAGCACTGGGCACAGTCCAATATTTCTGTGCTGTTGTGGTCTAGGAGCCCTCTCCCCTTCACAAGCCCCTTCAGTAAAGGTGCTTGAAAACAAGGTACAACCGCAGCCTCGCTGTGCGCAATCACAGCTTGTCAGTTTGGCACAAAAAAAAACCCTCAACAAGTCTCTTCCCTTCCCATAGTCCCTCAGACAGACACTGGCACAGTTATTAACTGAGTTGGGGCAGGGGGACAGCAAAGGAAACATCTCTAAGGAAGGGGGGAGAGATGAGGCAACGCTCCCTTTCACTCATGGGAAGCACAAATGCTCTCATTCATTGCTCCAGCATACTCCTTCCACATGCCCTGGCACTGAAAGAGACCTGGTGGGTGACATCCCTGGGGAGGAGGGGCTTACTACAAGGACCTCAAGGATGCAGCTCAGAAGTTAAAGAGTTATGAGCAAAGGGACAGCAGTAAAAGGCCGCCACTGGTTACCTAAGAGAAAACCAGTAAGACACCCAGTCCCTAACCCCTGCAGGGGGTGAGGCCACACATACACACTGATGTGACCCCCATGCTGGAGCTCAAGGCCTCCAGCTCTCTCCAAGAGACACTGGCAGCTGGCATATAAGGGGGAGAAAGACTCTGCTCATCAAGGACAGCTCTCAGCAGGAAGAAGACAACTTGAACCCTGGTCTCTCCTGCCATCCCCCCCATTTTGCCCCCAGAGAAGGGCACTGGAATGTGAAGAAACCAGGAACTGACGAAATAGGGCAGTGAGAGAGAAATGGGAACAGTTGGACATCTGGGATGTGGAACCTGACCCGTCTGCCCCCACATATACAGACTGCTACTCATCCAGACCTGGTATCAAGTCTGCAATGCTGTCCACATAGTAATTGGGCACCATATCCTTGGCAGCTGCGCTGTCACTGGCCATGTAGGCCTGCGCCTCCTCCAGGCGGGAGACACCCGTGAGGGTGAGGATGGTGGAGAGGCCGCAGTTCTTGCCAAAGAGGATATCTGTCTCCAGACGGTCTCCCACCATGAGGGTGCGGGATGGGTCGACGCCGAAACGCTCCACGATGCAATCAAACATGTACGTGTTCGGTTTCCCCACCACTAGTGCCTTGCGGCCTGAAGCCGTTTCCACCGCGGCTGTGAGGCTGCCAGTCCCTAGAGAGAAGAGGGAGGAGAAAAAGACGTAGCCACGGGCTAACCGGCTGCAGGAAGCTCAGCACCCAAGGCCCCACCAGGGGCAGGGAGGCTGACAGGCACGGATGTGGGCATCCCGATGCTCAGGGAACGTCCTCGCCCGTGCTTGGGGCGGTGAATCCCAACCCAGGCCAACCCCGCACCCCCCGGGGCAGCAAGGGAAGGAATGGGGCCCGCGAGCTCACCGGGGGTGCGCTGCCCATCGCTGAGCGGGTGCCAGGGGTCGGGGTCGGTGGCCACCAGGAGGCACTGCGGGTCGCGCAGGTAGCCGCAGGCCTGCGCCAGCTTGGCGAAGGTGAACTGGTCGTCGTAGCCCACCAGCACGGCCCGCACCGGCTCGGCGGGCGCGGCCTCGTCCTCTCCCGCCAGGCGCAGGCCGGCGTCGCGCACCTCGCCCCGCAACCCTTCTCCGCCCAGCACGAAGACGCGGCCGCCCGAGTCCCCGCTCCCCACGCCGCCGCCGCCGCCGAGGAGGCGCTGGCGGAGGAAGAGCGCGGAGCAGAGCGCGGAGCTGAAGACGTGCTCGGCGCGGACGCCGCGGAAGCCGAGGCGGCTGAAGCGCCGCTCCAGCTCGGCCACGGAGCGGCGGCTGTTGTTGCTGACGAAGAGGGCGGCCTTGCCGCTGCGCCGCAGCCGCTCCAGCAGTTCAGGGGCGCCGGGCACGGCGCGCTCGCCCGCCCACAGCACGCCGTCGCAGTCGAAGAGCAGCCCCTGCGCCGGGCCCAGCACCTCCCGCAACCCCGCGCCGCTCAGCCGCCGGCAGCTCGCCATAGCGCCGCTGCACCGCCGACCGCCCGCCGGGCCGCCGGCCGGCCGCCGCGTCCCGCCCCGCCCCGCGGGTCCGCCAATCACCGCCCCCCGGCCGCAGCCGCCACCAATGGGAGGCCAGGAACGCGCTGAGCTGCAGCCGCGCTGCCCTGTCACTCTCGAGGGGAAGGGGCGGGGCCAAAGTGACAGCCACGCAGCCCTATCAACTGCTGAAGGGGGCGGTGGGAGGCGGGACAAAGCCTGAGCGCTCTTGCCGATTGGTTAAAGTCGCCTTCCTCAGCCACCTCCTCCCGGGAAGGCCTCGCGGCAGCAGGGCGCCCCCTGCTGCCCGGTGGTGCTGAAGGGCGGCGAAGCCGCCATTACCCCCTGGCTGTGTGTCTCCTCCGGTTGAGGGGTCCGGCCGCCCCTCTCCGCCTTGGCATTCCTGCAGAACTCCCCTTCCCTCCTCCCGTCTGCAGCTTGCGGGTGCACAGCCTCCAGCACCTCGCACTGCTGAGCCCTGCTCATACCTGCCTGTGGCTTGTGACAGCAGCTCCCTAAATAACCTCGTTGCAAAATATACATACATATTTATATATGTCTATATCTGTGTGTTTATGGCACAATGGGGCAGAAGGGGCTGTGATGAGTGCTGTGTACCTGCAGAAGAACTTGCCCACGCCAGCCCCAGAACTGCCTCCCCGCCATCCATCTCCTGCTCTCCCAGGTCTCCATGGATACCTGAGCGAGACTCTGGGTCCCTCAGCAATGGCTGGGCCCAGGAGGGCCATGGTGGTGCAGGGTAGGAGGCTGTGGAGACGGGAGAGTAAGGGGAGGCGGGCGATAGACAAGATGGAGGAGCTGGAGAGGCATGCCATCCCTCAGGCCACCCCAATGTTTCCACAGTGCCTGCTGGGTCCCAGGGGGGCACTGCACCCCATCTCCCCATCCTGCTCGCTGCTCAGTTCTGCATGGGCGATGAGGTCAGGGGGCTCCCAGCCTCAGGCAGCGGCTGCCCCTCATCCCCGGTTCCGGGGGCACAGTCCGTGGTGATCACTGCATTGGCCTCACTGGGCGGAGGCCTGGGGGCCAGCGATGGGGCGTCGTGGCTGTGGCGGCTCGCTGGCTGTGGCGGGAGTGGCGGTGGGACGGAGGGGGCTCGGCTGGGCACCCCGGCCATCCGTCGCGGCAGGGCTTTGGGGCTGCCTGCATGCCTGGGGGCTGCCAGGGCAGGGGCTGTGCTGCGGGGCTGGGCCACGGGTGGTGGAGCCATCATGGGTCGGGCTGGAGCCGGGCGCTTGCCTGGAAAGAAAGCTGAGGTGGGTGGATTCTTCTCTGCTGGGGTCTCTCACCAGGGCAGGGGGGGCTGTGGTGTTGGATGTGGGTTACAGAGGGACAAATTGCCCCTTGCCCAGCTCCCATACTGGAGACCCAACAGCTTTTGAGGGCTTTTTCCATCCTCTTTTCTTCACAAGTGGCTATGAGCTTTGACCCCTCTTACACAGGACGCTGGAGGACTTACCATGCCCATCCCACAGTCCCACCTTGTCTGGGGCTGGAGCACACAATGAGGGGCTGGATCCTGACCATGATCCCAACCAGATGCCCTAACTCTCCTTTGGTGGCAGTGACATCCCCAGCACCCTCTCATGCAGGATGAAGGCAAAGCAGAGGAGGTGGCATTGCAGGGTGGCATTCCCCAAGCACTGTGCCATCAGGGGCACCCTAACCTTTGCGCGCAGTGTCGTCAGTCAGTGTTGGAGCTGCCGCTTCAGGAGATGGACTGGTCACTGCTGGGGGTGACCTGGGCTCAGGATCCCTCGAGGTGCTGCGCAGACAATGGAGCAAGTCAGGCTTCGGCTGGGCACGGTGAGCCTGGTGTGGGGGTGGGATGCGGGAGGGCATGGGGAGAGCTGGGAGAGCCCCCAGCTCCCACCAGACTTACACCTCTCCATCCGGGAGAGTGGGGGTGCTGGCTGGAGGGACATCAAGGGTCAGCTCTTCCACTGGGGTGGCCTTGCTAAGTCTGCTGTTTGCAGGTGGCATGAACATGCCTGAGATGTTGAAATCTACCTCTGGGTGGACAGAAAGGAGATGCCATGAGGAGAGGCTTACTGCCCAGAGCTTCCCCAGATGACCCCATGGCAGTGGACTGGTGCAGCCCCGCTGCTTCCCTCCTCCTGGGGAAGGAGAAATGTCCCCTTTTCTTCCTCCTCCCTTCACCCTGGGCTCTCACCCCCCAGGTGAGGCCCTCGCCCTACCTCCAGGGAAGAGGGTATCTGCGTGCTGGATGAGGGCTTCAACCACACTGACCACCTGGATGGAGGAGACCGAGGCCAAGTCCAGTTGCATTGGGTCTCTGAAAGACAGAGGTGGGGGGAGGCATCAGAAAAAGGATCTTGGGCCATTAAACCCCTCTGATGTTCATTCCTGAGGGGTGTGGTAGGGTCCTGGAATCCCTGGAACTGGTGGTGGAGGCCATCCATGTCATAGGTTCTCCAGGTCTCAGCCACTCCCTGTGCTACTTTGGAGCGTGGCCAAGAGGACACGTGCTTGGTGAAGGGACGTGCCAGTCGTGGACCGTGGGGACAAGGGACAATACTTGAGGATGGAGGTGCTTTAGACCAGCCTGAAGGCTGCTGGATCAGCCTTTCCCATGGTGTTTGCTCTCCAGGCACCCCAGGTGGGGCTGGCACTGCCTCCCACCCTCCAAGCAAGCTCTTACCCTGTGCTCTGCTGTGACCACAGCAGGTTGGGGCCCAGCACGATGGCGATATTGCTGGGGGTCATTTTGTTCACCTCCTGGTGTTCAGCCAGCTTAGCTAAGAACTTGATCAGATACCTGTGGGTACAAGGAGGTTGGTATGTATGGGTTTGGGGAGGGAAGAGCTGCCCCAGTGGTTGCTGAAGGAGCCCTGTCCTCGCAAAACACCTCAGGTTGTTGTAGCTCTCATGGGGCAGGCGACTGCAGGTGTCCCGCAGGCTCTGTATGCGGCTCTCATCATCCTTTAAGCTGCAAGAGAGAAGGAGGAGTGGAGAGCTCAGCCTGCTCCCTGTGGCAGAGAGGGATAGTGTGCAAGGGAACATGGTCAGTGTCAGCCACCCTGTGCAAGCCGTGGCCCTGGGGATGGGGATGCCCTGCTGCTGCCTTTACTGGGCAGCTAAGTAGGCATCCAGAGAGGACAAAATCACACCCCAAAGGCTCAGAGGGTTTCACAAGATACAAACACAGCTTCTGGGTGGGCACCCTATTTCACTGTGACTATGGGGCTCACTGGCATGGAGCTGATCCCTTCAGAAAGATACTCTCCCCATTTCCATGGCTTTTTGCCGTGTTTCCTTCACCACCCCTTCCATCCGAAAAGCAAGAGGCCAAACTGGGCACTGGCCACGGGGCTCACACTGTTGAGGTCAAGCGGGTCTTCACACAGTATACTGTTTCTACAATATAAAAGGTTGCAGCCTTTCTCCTCCTGCTGACTTGTTTTTTATTGCTGTTCCCCAAGGTTTTGGCCTATGTGGATTTCTGCTGAGCATGGGACAGACCAGGTGCTATATCTCTCCCTACATGGCAAACGAGGCCGAGGAGCCCTGCTCTGAGTGCTAGGAGGGATGGAGGGGGGTGAGTTGGGTTTATTTGAGCCCTACCAGGCTTTTCTGCCCCGAAGCCTACACCTACCTGGCCACTTGGAGCCACTCGTCATAGAGCTCAAAGGTCATCAAAGGCTGGGGCAGCTCCCGCAGGTAGGACTTCAGTGCACCTGAGAGAGGAGGGGGAGCAACAGGGATGATGGTGGTGGGGGACAGCAGGGACTGCCCGGTCATGTCCCCCCATGCTGCATCGCCGGCACCCACCGGCCACGGCGTGGGGGTCTGAGTAAAACTCTTCCAGCGCATTGGAGCCACTGGCCAGGCTGCTCTTCAGCTTCCTCAGCACTGAGGCACCAGCTGCCAGCCGGAAGAGGCCCTGGAGATGGGGTGAAGAGGGAAGGGATGTGGGGGGGCTGCATTCAGGGAGGGTGGTGGGAGGTCAGGAGTGCTGCCTACCTCCTCCCTCATGCCAGAGGCCAGCAGCATCATGACACAGGCTTCGATGGGCAGCGCGATCTCCCGGCCCAAGCTTTTGAGGTGTGTCTCTAGGGGCACACCGTAGTACCCCACCACTGGGGTGTCTGCAGTGAAGGAGGGCTCTGGAAGAGAGAGGTGAATGCCAGGAGGGATGGTGGCCTCTAGGGCCGTCTGGCATCCAGCCACAGTGACATCTCGCTCTGATGGAGAGGGGAGGCAGAGGCAGCATCCCCATGGTGTGGTTCCCAACCCACCAACCCAGTGTAGGAGGCAGCAGCAGGCACAGGGAGGGAAAACCTGGCTTTCCCAGCCTCACAAGCCACATTTGCATCCCCCTGAGCTCGGCTGCAGTCCTCCCTGGGCTGCACAGAGAGCCAGTGGGTTACCTGTCTGGCTGTGGCTTTCCTTCAGCTCTGCCAGAGCCGAGTCCAGAGATCCGAGGGACTGCCGGTGGTACTGAGCTTGGATTTCCAGCAGCTGCCAGGCATGGGACAGGCAAATAGTGCTTTTTTTGGCATCAGACTCTCTCAGAGAGATCCCCCACCAGGAATTGTGCCCACATACAGACAGGGCAAAGGGGGAGCTGCAAGGGGAACCCCCTTGGGGTCACTGGACCATGTCTGTAGTGGCGGGTAGAGGGCAAATTGGAGAGGGAGGGTCATCAGGACAAGTAGCTGGTGCTAGTGATGGCATTAACCTGCAGTGCGTGGAGCAAGGATAGCTTTAGGCGTTTGCTAGTGCCTGGGGCTGTCCCTTGCCCTATGTGGAGGGCTTAGTGTGGATGGGGACAAGGCATGGCTCAGGCATTCAAATGCTGAGGAGGAGTGTGAGAGAGGACTTACTTTGATGAAGTAGCTGGCGTAGCTGTCCTCTTTGGTGGAGAAGTGGTACAGGTCAGCCATGTACTCATCCTGGGAGGGGAGACAGAGAGAAGGGCAATCTTCCACCTGCTCCCTGGCACCTTCACAAAACCCTCTCATCCAGGCTGTGAGTTGTCACACAGGGCTTCCGGGTGCAGTGGGGAGGCAGGCTGGGACCATGGGGGCATTTCTCCTTGCCTTCATTGCTTGCATTTTGATAGTGGCAGTGACCTCTCCTGCAATGGGGGTACTCACACAAGTGTCTCAGGACAAGAGGTGCCTGCACCTCCAGCTCCAGTGAGCCCATGGCTCTGCCAGACGAGGCACTGGGCTTTTCAGAGAAGCATGGAGAAAGTCGGTGTGGAAGTCCCCAGCCACGCAGCACAGATCCCAGCCCAGCTGGTTCATAGGGGACCCAAGGGGACCCCATAAGCTCCCTGCTGTAGCCGTTGGAGCCTTCTCTCTGCAGAAGTTTGTGCTTTGAACCCTTAACTCCACTTCTTCCCTGGGCTTGGGCATCCCCCTGTTTCTGCTCCTTGAGGGACTGGTTTGCTTGCGGAGGGCAGTACATACTGGCTGGCTGCATCCATCTCAGCATAGGGTCACTTCGGATGGAATCAGTGAAGGGGAACAAGTCTGCAGCCCTGGAGGTGCCCCACGAGGGACAGCAAGTGAAATCTCACCTTGCACTGCTCCACCTTCCTCTTCACCTCCTCCTCCTCCTCCTTCAAGATCTCCAGTTTGTTGGCAGCAGAAGATGCCCCCGGGCCAGCACCAGTGCCAGCACTGTTACTGGAGCTCTTGGCAGCTTGGTTCAGCCTTTGGAGTGGGAGAGAAGAGTCACACCTACAGCCTCAGTGCCAGGGACATGGGGTGGGATGGGTGTGCAGAAGGGGTATGGGGATCATGAGGAGGACAGCAAGTCCAGGTACTGCCCTGCAGTGCTTTCCCTAGGCCAGTACCTCTCATTTCCCTCACCCAGAAGATGGTGCTGCTCAGAAGGGCACGACCTGGTTAGGTGGGGAGGCATTCAGCAAGGCTGACTGAAACACCCAGGGCCTGCAGGACCCTTCCCAAGCCTCATTCCTGACAGGAGCCATCATGACTCATGATGTGGAAATGACCCATGGCTGTGCTGCTCTCCCAGAGAAACCCAAGGTGGCACTTGGAAATTTGCTTCCCATTGTCTCCTATCCTGGGTGCCTGGATACCCTAGCCCCCTGCCCACAGTGTGTCCCATACCGGCTCTTGATTGTGTTCCAGTCAGAAATCAGCTTCTGGAGGGTCTTCTTGCGCTTCAGGATAATGGGAAGCTCCTCCTGGGGAGAGAGGGCCCAGAGTGAGTGGGGAAGGCTTGGGGATGCGGGAAAGGGTGATGGGATAGGAGAAGGGAGCCAGGAGGGCATGCAGGCCTACCTCACTGAGCCTGTTGAGTGGCTGCAGCACATCGCGCTCCAGGGTGATCTCAAACTCAGCCAGGATTTTGGCCAGCGAGCTTTCTATACAGCAGCCCATCTCCAGGGCTTTCCTGCATAGGAAAGACTGGGGGCTGGAACCGTGCCACTCTCTGACTCAACACCCCTCTGCGTGCCAGTACTCCTGTGGGACCCTGAGCCAACCCCTGTCCCCTCTCCCACTCCAGTACCAGTATTTTCTCTGAGGACAGGGTTTGACAGCTCAGCTTGGCCATGGGAGCCCCTGAGTCAAAACAATGGCACTGACAGCGTGTTTTGGGGTCGCCCCTGGCACTTTCTCCCATTGGCACTTACCCAAGGCTGGACTCCGTGTCCAGTTCCTTGAAGCTCTCAGCCATTGTCATGGATAGAGCCATCAAGGGCAGCTTCTTCTGCACAGAGACAAGGTGTTGGGAAAGGGATGGTGAGCCGGCATGTGGCAGCTCCCTCCCCATGAAGCGTGCCACCATGGCATGACAGCAAGTGGCTGAACCCTTCACTGGATCCCCGCATCTTTTCCTGGCCCACCCATCCCCACTGGCCCTGGGGATGTTCCTTCATCCAAAGCCAGCGTCCAGTTAGCTGCATAATGCACCAAAGCTCTATAGTTGGTTAGAAAACCTCCAGCCTTCTCTCAAATAGACCCATGTAGAAGACTGTGAGGCTGATGGAGGCCCTCACCAAGCACAGCCCCCTCTGCCATGGCTTCATATGTACAAAGCAGTTTAATCACCAAGAATAACTAAGCCAAGCTGGGGCTTGTCAGGTTGCCAAGAAAAGTGGAGCTCCCAGAATCATAGGGGCACTAAGGAAAGTGCAGGCTGAGGTGGAGGATGCTACTCACCACTCGCTTGTCCATCTCGGAGCCGCACTGCCCCTGCAGGCAGGCTTGCAGCCTCTTGGACACGCTGTGAGCTGCTCGCTTGGCTGGCTCAATCCTCTGCTCGATCTGAGGGCAGAAAGGTGGGAATGGAGAGGCTCTTTTGCCAACCATAGGCTGGGCTTCCCAATGCCATCTCTTCCCCAACACCCAGCTCTGGCGTGAGTGGCCCACACAGCATCCTGCTGCAGCGCAGATCTTCCCTGGTCCAGCAAAAAGGGAGGACAGCTCCTGGTCGGGATTCATCCCTCTGTGAGTGGCCGGAGAAGCCCTTTCCCATAGCAGGAGGCTGCTGCGGTCCTGGAGCTGCCCTCCGGCACATGGGCAGATCCCAGCCCCACGACTTGGACGCGCTGGCAGGACAAACCGCAGGCAGGAGCGGGGCAGGTCCCACACCCAGGCACAAGCAGGCACACGCCTGCCGGCCCTGCCGCACCTCACCTGCAGCAGATCTGCCGGCAGCAGCTCCGTCGCTTCTTGGGCTCTGCCGAGGAAGCAGAAAGAGCCATGAGCAGATGGGGTGAGCTTCACCCGCCACTCTTTGGGAGCGGGAGGCACTGGCTATGGCCTGGACCATCTCACACAAGGTGATGGGTGGAATGAACTCGGAGGGATGCAGCCAGAACAGGGCAACGCAGCCAACCTTGCTGGCTGGTGGTCACCCATCAGACACAGCTTCCAGGTCAGAGCACCACAGTCAAAAAGTCCAGATGGAGACAGGGGTAGTGGGGCCATAGCGGGGGTGGGATGTTTGGTGGTAAAGTCTCCTGACCACTCCTCTAAAGCCAAATCCAGAGCAGTGCTCTGAAGCCTGCACACATATTTGCAGGCCATGGTAGCCACCGGCTGTGGGTTCACCAGTGCCAGAACAAGGATATCTTCAGGACCAAGCTGTAGCCTGAGACCAACACAAGCCCCTCCAGAAACACCTACATGAAACCAGCTTTCTGCTTGGTTTTGCAGCTGGTATCAAGGGGTGAAATTTCTGTTTTGCAGCAAATTCTGCTCAAAACCAGATTCAAATCCCACCAGCTGCCATCACCACCAAACCTCCTTGTAGAGGAAACCTCCCTTCATGGCCTGCTGCCATTGCCGTGCCCCAGGAAACCCATTTGCTTTCCCTCTGCTGCTGCTTTTTCCCCAGTTCATGTTTCTCTCTTTTTACCACCCGATGGGGGATGAGGCTGTGGAGCTGCAGGAAACGGGGGTGGCTTGGTTACAGGCAAGCAAAATCACGTGAGACCGCAGCCTGCAAAGGAGAGGCTCTGCGGTGGGTGAAGAGCTTGCTATAGGACAGGATAGGCTGCTTGAGACCTGCCTGGCACTAGTGAAAAGGAGGTACATCCAACATGGAGATGAGACATCTTGAGCGAGGAGGGATGGGAAAGGGGATCATGGTCCCCTATGGGAAATGCAAGAAGAGCAAGAGGCCACCAGGATGTAGAAGCTGCTTCCCTGTGGCTGGTCTGCTGGGCTGGCTGAGGGACCAGTGCAGCGGTGCAGGGGACACGGTTGGCCCTGCTCATCCTCCCAGCGCTGGGGAGCCTGCGAAGGTGGCTGTAGGAAAGGAGCAGTGAGGGGGCTGGGAAGGGAGGGCCCAGCCCTGTAATTTCGGTTCTGGGTTTTGCAAGGGGAGAGCTTTGGAAAGGCGAAGAGAAAAATAAGGAAGAGACAGAGGAAGGATGGGGCCAGAGGGATTTGTGTGAAGCTGTACAATCCCCGGCCCTCTCCTCAAAGGGCATGCCAGGAAGCCCATGCTGCCAGGCTTGCTACAACTATGCAGAGCACCCAGTGCCTGTGGGGATTCAGCAGGGAAGGCAGGTCCCAGTTCCTAACACTCTCCTGGTCACTACACAGCCAAGGACATTTGGCTAGAAGGTCCTTCCCTGTTGCCCCCACACCCTGAGGAAGCCAAGCTTGGGAAAAGCCTGTTTCCAGGTGGATGTAGCATCTGGGGATCATATCACTGTTGAGCAGCACCAGTGCAGCCTTCCCATTGCCCCGTGGGCACCAGGAAGCCACAGCTCCTCAGCTTATGCTGAAGATGCTCTAAACCCAGGGTCATTCCCTCTTCCCCTCCTCTCTGGCCATGGAAGGTCAGTCCAGCCCCAGCGCAAGCCCTCCAGGACCCGCATCCCGCTCCCTCCCAGCCCCTCCAGTGCAGGTAGCGCAGAAGTCCTTACCGGCCGGTGATGTTGGGATGGGACAGCTGCTGCCGCATCCAATTGATCTGCTTTTTCATCATCTTGAGCGCTGGGAGGGAACCACGAGTCGCTCCACTTGGCTGTACCCACTCAGCACCCTTCAGCAATGCTTGGCATCAGGCACTGGTGGCCCCTCAGTTCCCCAGAGCTGCTCTCCCCTTGCTTTTCCCTGAGGACCTCTCCTTCCCCTGTTCCCCCTTTCTGTTTGTGTGGCTGGCCCCCTCCCTCATCCCTCCCAGGGGATGCCCTGCCTTGGACTCCCTGCTCCGGCTCCCTCTCTTCTGAGCTTCCTTCCTCTCCGTCTGCCCCTGCACTGCAGAGCAGGTAAGAGCAGCTCAGGGCTCCTGCTCCACTCTGTGTTCCTGTCACCACCCCGCAAGTATAAATAACTTCAGCCCAGCCTTAAAGGGGAAATATTATTACAGCAAACACGTAACAAGGCAGGACAAGCACATGTGCTGCCAAGCCCAAGCAAGGGCCCACGCTCTGTTTCTTGCTCTGTCTCAACTCGGCACCTGTTTTTCCCCCTCTTGCCTTGCCCACCACTAGCCCATGTCCATGCCAGCTAGCTGTGCAGTGCACACGGAGTGTTTGATGTACATCCTGCCCTGCCCGGTCACCCAAACTCTGCTCCATGCTCACGGGTACAGCTCCACTCTCTTCCCTCTGCCACATATCCCTCTTGTCATGACAAACGCAGGAGGTCGAGCAGCAAAGCCACCCCTGCAGCCCCTTCTGTGCCCCCCACCCCACTTCCCATCCCCAACGCTCTCTAGAACAACCACAAAGCTGCTGCCCTGTGCCCTGGGGAGGCCCCTTCCTCCCTCCCTGTTCTCCCACCGCTGGCAGAGCTCCTCGGGGCTGAGCACGGCGCAGCAGCACCCGCACGCAGTCACCCAGGAACCACAAACTCCTCCTTCCCAGGCTCGGGTGCTCTGTGTTTGGGTCGAGGCATCCCCTTCACACCAGCACCACCTCCTTTGCTCCTGGCCTGGGGAGATGTAAACCTTGCCTTGCTTCTGGCTACCTGCAGCTGGGACTTCCCTCCATCTGCAGTCTGCTCTCGGCTGGGTTAGCATTGGCAAAGGAAGGAGCACAGGCAGGAAGTGGTCAGCCTGTGGGCAGAGACAAGCGGCAAAGGAAGAACAGGCGGAAGGGCCACTCCACCTGTGCCTGCAAGCCTGAAGGGCTACAGTTAGAGGGGTGCTGGGCTCTGCTCTGTAGTGGAGGGCAAAGGCTCCGGTGAGGGCATAGCAAAGCAGTGCTGGCAGCTGGGATGGAGCAAGGGGGCCCTGCCTGAAACACCAGGTTGCTCTAAACCTCTGGCTCAAGAGTGTCTGATACCCCAGCCATGAGCCCTGGGGGTGCTCCCAACAGGCAGGGTAGTTACCGAAGGGCATCAAGTCTAAGGGGTTCAAAACATCTCTTGCAGAGGCCAAAAAGCCCCCCAAGACCCTTGTCAGAGCAGATCTCTCCCCCCCTGCACTAAAACTGCCCTGGGCAAGAGGAGGAAGAGCTGCTACAAGCAGTGGTGAAGCTGCAAACAGTTCTGTGGGGCACGGGAGTGAGGTCAAGCCCTGCTCCTAATGGGATGCAGGGCACTGACCGTTACCCACAACCTCTCCCTAGGGAGAGAGGGAAGCAGGCAACACTCAGCTTCCAGCCTCTCAAAAAGGAATTGAGAGCATATGGGGCACTTCCACCACTTCTCTCCCTGGTCATGGGAGTGGGGAAACCATGGTGGCAATGCCCCAGGTGACTGGGGGATGACTTAAGATGATTGCAGGGGCAAGATGAGCTGGAAATGACGCCTTGTGGGGTGGAAGTCAGGGAAGGTGAGGGGAAAAGGCATTCCTTCAGTCAAAAGGCAGGGCCAGGATCAGGAAAGAACTATTTATTTCCCATAAATACAGCAGACTGTTCGCGCCGGGCGTTTTGTTTTCAATCTGTTTGTTTGTTTTCTTCCATTTACAGAATTTTGCACTGAAAATATATACATGTCTGTTCAACCAAACAAGATCTGCAAAGAAAAACCCCATACAAAACCCTGAAAAGAGACCAGAAAGGGAAGTAAGACACAGCAGAACCCCAGCATAAAGACCTTGCTTCCCCTTCTTTCTCTACCGCTCGCTGCACCCAGCTCCCAACACCTCACCTTTGCTGCCTCCCAAGCCACCCCACTCACCTCCATCTTGCCCAGGCCTCCTTCTACCTCTGGCAAGCCTATTGCAGGGCGCAGCTTGTTCCTACTTTTCAAGATCAGGCCCTCTTAAAACCAGTTTAGGGATGGGAAGCGGCTCCTGCGGTCACAAGCCCCATGGGGACGTGCCACCCGCCGGTCCCCTCCATGCCTGCAGATCCCCGCTCTAGTGTCACAGTGATCAGGCGGCTGTGTGGGCCCCCTCCCCATGCAGGGAGCCAGGCAAAGGTGCGCAAGGCACAGCTGAACCCCCCCCCCAGAGCAGAGCTTAGTGGTGGCCCCTGGTGATGGGTGGCCCTCCAGCCTCTCCATGACTCCCAGTGCATCACCCACCCCACACTGCGAGAAGACACTGAGAAAGCCCCCCTGCCCCACTAAGCCATCCAGCCCAGCCGGGAGGGAAGAAGACTATGTGCTGCTTCCTCCCTCTGCCTGGCAGGAGGCTGCAGGGAGACCCACCCCCACTTCCCCCAGCACACCCCCCTTGGGGGTGGCATGCAGGACAAAGTCCCCAAAGCTCGCTGTGGCAGATAAAGCACACGGGGAGTGTGTGGTCTTTCTCGCTATGGGGGCTCAGTGCCTAGGTGGAGAGGATGGGAAGGCACAGAACAAGCCCTGCCCAGCCCCTGGGGTCCCACCTCCCACTAACAGTTCCATATTCAGCTGGAAGGACGGAGATAGGGGGAGATGACTCCTCCTGACCCCTCAAAGCAAGGGCAGCTGCCTGCTTGGAGAGTGCTGGAGACACATAGTCTCCATCCAGCCTTGCTCCACAGCAGCTCCAGTGGGATCCCATCAGACAGGGAACCACCAGGGCCCAGTTGCAAAGAGGGGGCAAGGGAGACAAGCACCACACAGCACGAAGCAGCTGAAGGGCTGGGAAGTGCAGAGAGGACAGACAAGGAAAAGGATCTTCCTTTGCTAGGCCTTGCCCCAGGCTGAGGCTGTTAAAGCTCCCCTTCCTTGTTCCCCACTGCCCCTAGAGGGGGAAAGCAGGACTAGACGAGAAGCTGGACAGACTGGGAAGGGAGCGTCGCCTTCGGAAGAGCAGGGAAGGCAACTGCTCACACAGACGAGGCTCTCCACTCCACGTCTGGTGGGGTGAACACCTCCCGGTGTCTCTGCTTTCCTCCTCGAGGTACGCTCCCTCTGGCTCTCGCCCGGCCATCTGGAGAATAGAGCGTGAGCAGCAGCCCCCCACCCGCCCTCCCCATCCCCTCGGGCTACTCCAGCCCCTGAGGACTGGCTTCCCAAGGACTCTGCAGTGTAGTGTCTGCAACGTGCAGCCCTAGAGGTTTCCCCAGGACTCGGGTGGGGGGAACTGGTCCACATCCCCCATTTCATTGTAGGTTTGCTCTCCCATAGTGAAGGTCAGCTTGTACCGTAGCCTCACTTTCTCCTGTAGATGGGGGAGAAAGGATAAAGTCAGAAGAGGGTGAAAGGAAGGCATGAGGCACAAACCCTGCGGGTCTCTTGGAAGCTGAGGAGACCAAACAGGGATGAGGTAGGCAGGTTTTGCTCAGGAAGCAAGAGCAGCCCCTGCTCATGTCCCAGCAACAGTGCTGTTACCTTCTGTGGGTTAGCAAGCAGCAGGACTTGTGTGATGGCACTAGGGTGGACAATGGGGTTGAATGCTGGCAGCTCCGTGCCTGAGGGCGGCTGCAGCTTCACCTTCATCACCTATGGAGAGAGAAGAGCAGCCCAGGTTCTCACAAGGGACATGGCAGCAAGGGGCCCTGCTCCTGTATCTGGGGAGCCTCCACAGTCTAGTCAGAGTATTGTGCTGGTTCCTGCTAATCTGAAGGCAACACAACTCATTCTCAGCCCCACAGAGCTCCCTCCACCCAGCCTGCCCTCCCTTGAAGAAGCAGAGCTGCACTTTGGCCAGGTCTGGAGACCTCAGCCCCATCAGCTGCCTTACCTTGGGGACAGCAGACTGAAAGACAATGTTGCGGATGGGCTGTGGGGCTGTGCTAAGCATAGAAATCACCACCACAAGCACATCGGGCCTCTCAGGCAGAGCATCCTTAGCGAAGTGGAAGAGGACACGGAAGCCGTGCTGATCATAAACCGTCACAGGGAGGATGCTGCCTATGGGAAAGGCAGGGACAGGCAGCAGTCAGCAAGAGGGAATTGGTCCTGCGGCAACCTCTGCCCATCACCCAAACTCCATACAAGTGACAGAGACACTACTCCTCAACCTCCACAAAATCCAACCAGCAAGAAGTTTCCTCACACTCTTCCCTTCCACGTGCACATGGTTTGTTCCCCCCTAAGCTTCCTCCCCGGCTCACTGGGTTTGATTGACTCCAGAGGCACAGTGATGTTGGCCAATGAGATCTCCTGCGGCAGTGTGGTGGCAGGAGGCCGTGGTGGGACTGCAGAACTTCCTGCTGGTGTGATAGCAGCTTTTGGGAGTGCAGCAGGGGCAGGCAGCTCCGAGGCCAGGGGCAGCGTGGGGTTAGGGGAAACGCTCTGGAGCACGGGCAGAGCACTGGGATTGTGGGCTGTGGTGCCAGAGCTGCTCCTGTTCTGGAGATCCCTCAGGGTGAGCCGGGGGGGTGGCTGCTGCTTCTCCCTGTAGGGAGAGAGAGAGAGCAAGGAGTGGAACAGGGCACTGAAGTGTCACCTTCGGCACCCCAGAAATGGACACAATGGGGAGATGAGAGATCGCACTACCCCTGCTTACCATCGCACTTGCTGAGACTCTGGAGGCAAAGACTGTTGCAGCAGGGTCTTGCCCAGGAGGTCCAGGTCATCCAGGCCACTGGTGGAAGGAGAAGGTTTGGGGGAGGATGAGCCAGCATCTGCTTTGACTGGTGGTGCTGCTGTGATAGGGGTGATGTTGAGCTCATTGCTATCTGATGACTGTAAAAAGAGCGCACAGGAGACCCCCCAAGCAGGGTTGCACATCAGCACCAACCAACAGATGTGGGACATTTCCCTATCTACTCCCTCTGTTGCTTTCAACCCGCCCCCCTGCCCCTTCTGCCCTGGCTCCCAGCACGTTACCTGGAAGCTGTTCCA